AATCCGGGCGCCGGCCACGCGCACGTTCCCTTGCCGGAGGCCTTCGGTTGGTAACCGAAGGTTATATACGCTCGCGCCCCCTGCCGCCGACCCTTTTGTTGGACCTCGCGTATACCCCGTGTCGACCCCCGCCCGAATCCGGTCGACAGATTTTTATGTCATTTATATTTTATCTACCACCATGGTTGTGCGTGATGTGGAAAACATCGTTTTTTACAGTGTTTCGTGGCCTTCGGCGGAGACGACTTGCGCCTAACAGGGCGCCGGTGGTGTCGGTTATGCGTGCCGCGCGGACAGGCTTAATCGACATTTCGTTTGTGTTGGGCACAGAAGTTGCCTAACATATCCCTAACATAGGCCCAAGATAGCCAACATATCCCCAACATAGCCTCCAAGATGGCTCAACATAGGGCCAACATAGGCCAACATGGGGCCAACATACGCCAAGATAGGCCGAACATAGGCCCAACCTAGGCCAACATAGGCCTAACATAGGCCGACCTAGGCGCAACATAGGCTCAACTTGGGCCCAAGATGTGCCCAACATAGACCACGTGGGCGCAACTTGGCGCAACCTAGGGCCAAGATGCGCACCAGATAGCTTAACTTTGCTCAAGCTTAATCGACATTTCGTGAGCGTAGGGCACCCGCCAACAGCAAAGGCGGAACATGTGCTCCGAGATGATCTGAAAAAGGCCTTCAAGAGGACCTCACCTAGTCCCAGCCTATGGTATACATAGCCGCAAGATGACCCGACCCAGGTCTCACATATGGGAAACATAGCCCCTAGGCGGGCCCAGATTGCCTCAAGATGTGGCAACAGGCCTCACATAGGCTCAACTGGGCCCAGACTGCCTCAAGATGTGGCAACATAGGTCTCACACAATCTCAAAAAGAGAGAGAGAGAAAGAGAGACAGCGAAGACAGAGACAGTGACTACAGAGAAGACAGAGACAGAGACTACAGAGACAGAGACCGACAGAGACAGAGAGAGAGCGGAGGGAGATAGGAGAGAGAGAGAGAGAGAGACGGGGTGGCAGGACATGTGCAAGACGGCTCTCCCGACTTCGGCGTGTATACGCCCGGGCGGTCAGCCCCCTTCTCGAGAAGGACGCTCCCGAGACGGTCAGCCCCCTTCTCGAGAAGGATGCTACCGGGACGCCCGAAGTCCCGGTCCCCGTCTTGCACAGGGAGGGGTTGTTCGGCCCCCCACCGACTGAAGATGTAGACGGTGCGCACCTGGCGAGAACGAATTCGCGGACATTGCACTCTGCACGCATCGTTCACAGTTTCACAGTGTCTTGCAGTCTCACCGCTCTTGCGGCGCTCGCTGACCGGTCTTTTTTTTACTGCTACGGCTGGTTGTCGCATGACGTTGACCGCGTGAGCGATGCTCTGGCGGAGGCTAGAGCGAAGGCGCATACGAACCAAGGAACTGTGCGGTTGGACGCACGCGGCGTCGAAGGTTCGACCGCTTCTTTGGCTCTGTTTCGACCGCTTCTCCTTCGGAGTTTGCAATGCGACTCTGACAAAGTCATGCGCTGGCAGATGGTCCAACCGAACCTTTGGCTCCAGAGGCCCACGAAAACGAAGTCATGGCCGAGGCCGTTCGGGAGCACACAGTTGAAACTCTGCTATCGTACAACGCATTTCTGGGCTTTTGACTCTGGAATTTCTCTGAAGTGGGCGGATTAGGCTTTTGCCGGGCATGAGTGATGCTCTTGCGAACTTGGCTGCAGGGGCTGCGCGATGCGTTGGCCCTCGGGTAGGGGATGAAATGGCGCTGCCGGGGTGGTTCTGTGCACCATGTCTTTAACCATGGAATTTCTATTAGGCGGGCGGGCTATGGTTTTGCGGGGCATGAGCGATGCTCTGGCGGACTTGGCTGCAGCGGCTGCGCGATGCGCTGGCTCGGATGAAATGGTGCTGCCCAGAGTGGTTCTGTGCATCCGGTTTTAATGGACAATGGAATTTCTATTAAGTGGGCGGACTATGGTTTTGCTGGGCATTGAGCGATGCTCTGGCCTTCGGGTAGGAAATAAAATGGTGCTGCCCAGGGTAGTTCTGAACGATGGAATTTTTATACAGTGGGCGGACTGTGGTTTTGCTGGACTTGAGCGATGCTCCGGCGGACTTAGCTGCAGCGCCTGCGCGATGCGCTGGCTAGGATGAAATGGGGGTTGCCCAGGGTGGTTCTGTGCATCAGCTTTTGGAGAATGGAATGGAGAATGGAATTTCTATTAAGTGGGCGGACTATGGTTTTACCGGGCAGGAGTGATGCTCTGGCCTTCGGGTAGGAGATAAAATGGTGCTGCCTAGGGTGGTTCTGTGCACCAAGTTTTTAACAATGGAATTTTTATTAAGTGGGCGGACTATGGTTTTGCCGGGCATGAGCGATGCTCTGGCGGACTTGGCGGCTGGCTCTCGGGTAGGGGGTGAGATGGTGCTGCCCAGGGTGGTTCTGTGCACGAGGCTTTTGACCATGGAATTTCTATCTGCTGTGGACTGCGTATGTTGCACGTCACAGCTTGCACGCGCTGCTTTCTGGGCATAGGCTTCTACACTTTGCGACGCCTCTTCCTTGGCACGCCACGCTGATTCTGGTCGCGGCACTTTGCACACATCCAAGTTGGTAGAACTTTGACATGGTAGCCACTTTTTCGTGGTCGTGGCTGACCACAAGCATCACATGGCGGATAGCTGCATTGCATGCACAAAGTATCTGCTATAGCCTGGGACTCTAGCGACTGACCACACTGGGCGCATGGCTTCACTGTGCACTCTGGGCAAGTCCAAGTTGGTAAAACTTTGACGTGGTAGCGACGTTCACGTGGTCGTGGTTGACCACAAGTATCACACGGCGGATAGCTGCATTGCACGCACAAGGTATCTGCTGTGGCCTGGGACTCTAGCGGGTTACCGCACTGGCTGCAAGGCTTCACTTTGCACTTTGCGCAATTCCAAGTCGGTAAAACTTTGACATGGTAGCGACGTTCACGTGGCCGTGGCTCACCACAAGTCGCACACGGCGGATAGCTGCATTGCATGCACAAGGTATCTGCTATGGCCTGGGACTGGAGCGACTGACCACACTGGCTGCATGACTTCACTTTGCACTCTGCGCAACTCCAATTTGGTAAAACTTTGACGTGGTACCGACTGTCACTTGGTCGTGGCCGACCACACACTTGACAGGGGGGATAGGCACATGCGGCACACCACGCGCCGGCTGTTGCACTGGAAGGCAAGGGTTTGGCACAGTTACCACAGAGTTTAGGATTAGCGACACATTCTTTGCATGTTCCCGTGTTGTTATCGGCGGTGTAGTTGGAAAGGTTAGGAACGGCAACCACTTTCTCACACTGAACACAGCGGCCTTTCTTGCCTTGGCATTCCGGACAATGCCAAATTGGATGTTTCTTGGCGTGGAGCCGCCTTTTTCCTGCTTGAGGGCGTGGCTTACCACATCCGCCCGTGCAAGGAGGGTATGCACAGGGTTTGCACCACGTGCCTGGAGTTTGACTTGCCTTCAATGGCTGGCCACAGTTGGCGCAGGTTTTTGATGCCCGCGCCTGCTTGGCGACACATGTGCGGCGCACTCCCGTTTGCGACTCTGCGGTATAGTGTTTGAGATGTGGCACACTCACAGTCTTATTGCAATCTCTGCACAAACCTTGTTTGGAAGTGGCTGCGACAGGGGTGGTAGCACACTTTTTGCAGCGAACGCGTCGTAGTTCTTTAGTTTTTTTTTTTGCGTCTGACTTCTTCCGGGTCGAAGTCTGTCAAGCGTTTCGTTTTGATTTTCTTGCCTTGGTCACATCGGCTGCAGGCTAAACGTTCTGTTTTGACACACTCCGAACAATAGCCAGTTTTGTTGGCCGGTCTGGCTTCAGGGCAATATGGACAAGGATGCATTGCTTCAGGGCGACTGGGTGGTTGTGTTCCGCTCTGCTTAGCTTTGCATTGGAGACATAGGCGACACATGCCTTCGGATAAGACTTGGTACCATTCGTCCTGGTCCCATGCCGTGACAAATTCTCGCAGAGGCAGTAACTTCTCTTGTCGATGTGGCTGTGGGCTGCAGCCGCGGCAAAACAACATGATGTCACGATTTCTTTTCTTGCTTGGTTTGTCTTGACTAAATCGAGCTTTTGCTTCTTGTGGCGTGAGCTTGCCGCGATGAACTTCTAGAAAAGTGTGTGGGCCTATCAATTCCCCATTGGTGAACAAGTTGGGGGAAAAGGGTTGGGCTATACACAAGTCTTCGGCTTTCCGAACTCGGGACAAGCACATGTAGCCGCTCAGTTGAGCCTCGCGGGACGCGGTGGAATCCCAGTGGCCGAGATCAAGCGTGCAGGCTTCTAGGGTGGAGCCCATGAAGGAATGCGCGGTCCCTGCGAAATCGCACGCGAGTGGGAAACCGCGTCGAGACACTGTGGCCTTACCGTTGGTCTCCAGGGACCATGTTTGCGTCACTGCTTCTAAGCGGGCAACTCCTGGTGGCAGTTGTGTATGTTGTTGCCACGTTTGCCCGGGGACGTGGACGTACAGAGCTAGAGGCATTTTTTGAAGGACGATGTTATCTGCGTCGTTCTGCGACGCTGCATCAGCGTCTGCCTCATGTAGCGTCCAACTCCAAAGCGTGCCTCGAGTATTTTTGAAGAGTCCAAAGGCTTTGAGTTCTGGCAAGGTTTGCGTGATCCTGACGGGCATGTTTTGCAGCAAGGGCAACAAACCGACGACGCCACCTGTGGACTGGTCGTGGCGTTGCAACCAATTCTCCCGCCGAGTGGGTAGTTCGGTAGGTTCGATGTGAAAGAGTGGTGTATCTTGGGCTACTATCCAGAGTAGTTTTTCTCTCCGGGTGGTTGCCACTTGGCGAGCACGAAGGTTGGCGGCTATGTATTTCGCTGCGTTGAGTCCATGCACAAAGGGATTGTTGAGAAACTTTGGGCTTTTCTGATCTTTGCCTACAAGACACCGACGTTGGCGTTCGGCTCGACACTGCTTGCATTCAAGCGGTTGCTTGTGAAGGGCTGCAGCTTGCAAGTGCAGGTCGGCGCAAGTTGTCTGGCCGCACTCGACCGTGTGGGTTTTGAAGTTCCAGGAGCCTGCGTGCAAAGTCGGAAATCCATGGAGAAAAGACCAAATTTCTTGAGTCATGCTTCCGTGGCGCGCATGTTGCAGGACGACACTGAGCCATGGGTCTTCACAGCGTTGTTCTTTGGTTAGTTCGAATAGGTGTTGCATAGCCTTTGTGCCGCGTGTCCAGAACAGTTTCTGCAGGGCTGCAACTTGAAAGCTGCCATTTTCCACGAAAGGGTTTTGGAAAATGGCGGTGGCTTTCACCGGGGGGAACTGCCAAAGGTCACCGGTCAGGATCAGGTTCAGACCTGCGAACGGCCGTTTTTCTCCGCCGGGACGAAGCTTCCAAGTATCTCTGTCTCGGATCGATTGTTGAAGTTTTTTTTCGACCGTGGCAAGAATTTCGAGGCCGACGGTCGAAGTTTCGTCAACTAAGATCCAACGTAAACGCTGATACTTGACGAATTGGTCTGTGGTGTGGGTGCTGCCCGGGGAGGCCTTTTTGGCTCGAACACGGATGTTCGCGAAGGCGTGGAGGGTGACACCGCCGATGAGCGCGGCCTGAGTGTTCTGTGGAGCTAAGAAGACGAATTGGTGCTGATGCTCCCAGTGGCAAATGTCCTCGAAAAAGCTGCGTAGCCACTTGAGGGTTTGGCTTTTGCCGGCTCCCGGTACGCCATGGAAAATGGCTCGCAAGGGCTCGGTGTCGGCCGTGCCCGCGCGCTCTTCGGTGGCCTCTTGCAGACTGCGTTGGATGACGGCGCGCAAAAACTTGAGTTGTTCGCCGGTGGGTTGGCAGTTGCCGTCGGAACTTTGCAAGTTGGTGAGCCAGGCTTCCGCGGCTTCTGCCGTCAAGGTGCCATACGTCCACGTCAAAAACTGCTCTGGAGGCGACTGGGTATGTGCGTGAGCGATGCTCTGGCTGTGATCTGGCTTGATGTTGGGCACGCCGGTGTTGATGGGTTTCAGGGATGCGGTGTAGTTTTCCGAGTCAATTTTCCATTCTTCGATAATTTCGTGGACTGCGGCACTGGAGCGTTTCGAGTACTCAAAACCGACTCCTGTGATTAGCCGACGAATGGTTTCGTTGCTGACCCAAGATGTATCCACTTCCAACTTGTCTCGGTTGGACGGGGGCTCTATTGCGTCGGCCTCCTCGGGATCACATTCGGTGGCTGCAATGAAATTGCGAATTGTTCTGGCCGCATGCTCCGAAACAACGTGGTTGGCGATGTACTCTTTCCAGGCCACGTGGTGACTTCTTTGGCCGGCAGGACTCTTTGTGTGGATGCGGGTCAGACAACGAGCGCTCCTAACCGCAAAGGGTAAGTCTAGTGCCGCTATGTGGGGCACGTGAAGGGTAGAATTAGGGAGGTCTAAGGTCCATGGCCGAAGGTAAACATTAAGCAACCTAGCTTGGGCTTCTCGTGCCATATCGGGCTTCGGTAGTGGACAGACTGTGGGGTATGGGACGCAAGGTTCGCGGCGTCGTTCGAGATAGTGGTCTTGTGCAGCTTGACACTGAGGTGTTTCCGGCAGGCGAAGAACGGTGTCACGCCGGGCAGCGGGCAACGAATCCTTCCAGACAAAATCGCGTCCGAATTTCCAGCCATCGGCTGGTTTCTTGGTCTGGCCTGCCCCATTGACCCAAACACTTAAACCTGTGTCGGACTCAGCATTTTCTCCATGGGGTGGTTGCAATTTTTTCACTGTCCACCATTTCACAAACTCCCACGGAGATAAGAACCACACTCTTGGATCTGTACCTCTCCAACCATATACTTCAGAAAACTTGACGGTGGAACTGCGGGAGTTGCTGGGCTTGACTTTTTGCCGAGACTCTGTGCAGGTGTCGATGATACTTAACCAGTCGGTGCCTACAAAGGGGACGACGGGAAAACTACGAATGCACTCTGCAGAGGTTGGTTCGGTGGAGGTGGCGAAACCGGCCAACATGAATTCTTCGGTCATGGGCCGGGTGGAGCAACGAAATTCAAGGTCCCCCAGCACTCGATGCGCGACTTTCCGCTGCTGCGCGGCTGGGTCGTCTGCGGCAGCGGTTTCTAAGAAATGCAACTGTTTGGCTGCATTCTGTAACTCTTTCCGACCCAATGGTTGGGGCTTTTGCAAGTAGCCTGTGAAGTATCGTGTGGAACGGCGAGCTGCCTGCGCCATGGCGCGTTGTAGCTTCCGGAGTAAAGTGTCTGCGAGACATCCGCGGGCACACTCTGCGTCATGGGAGGCAGCAGTCAGAGGAACTCGAAAGTTCACCGCAGTGTGCGAGTTGCCAAACAACATGAGCGAAAAGGCATACATTGTGCCGGACAACCAAGGATCTTCTCGCTTATCTAAAATTGTACCTAAAGCATTTCTCCGGCCAGCAGTACTCAATCCAAATTTCCGAGCATTGCCTCGGCATATGACTCGACCGCGGTCGTTCTGCACCTTTGGGAAGCTATGCTTACACTTATTGGGAGCATTTTTCTTGCGGCAAGCACTGAGCGGTAACCGACACTTTTGCACAATGCTATAAGGATGCCAGTGTATCTGCTGATGGCTCATTTTGCTTTGTGCGACACGGCGGTAAGTCTCGATGAATGTCTGGGCTTCTTGCACTGCTCGGGTAGCCACCACGTCATCCAACCACGGGCTCTTTGCGTCATCTGTTTGGATGAAGTTTGGCCAATGGCAAAGAAAATCGTGCTTTTCGTGGCTGTTGTTCTCGTTCCAGGCGGCTTCTAGTTCTGCTTACTGTGCATTGTGGAAAGTGTAGTCAGGATGAGTTTCTGGGTGTATCCATGTGAGAAAGTGTTTCACGTCGTCGAACTCGATAGTTCGGTTGTTCAATTTCTCCGCGAGTTCGTGGAGCGGTTGCTGCCAAATGGATGCACTGTAGACGTTGCAGTGAAAGTGCGGCGTCGAATTTGTTTGATATTCGATGGCGCCACAGAGGCCGCGCACGAGGCCGAACAACCCCCCGGTGACATGGCAGCCGTTCCCGCTGGCATCCCGGCAGTCACAGGCGGGACAACGAAAGCACATGCGAATGCCGAGCAGCTTTGCGAAAATGCAACGAACAACGGTTTGGAAGCTGAGAACTACGGCCCACGGGTCTCTGGCTGTCAGTTGCCGTCTGGTATCATAGGGGGGGACGAACATGGTTGCATTGGCGGATTCCCATATTGCTGGGCAGGTCCGCTTTCCGAAGACCGTGCTGCCTGGGTCGGCTTGTCGGTATCGAGAAAATTTGACGCACAGCGCATTGTGGCGTGAGGTGGGTGAAATTGTGATGAAAAGAGGTTCTCCCAGCTCCACTCTGGCTCCAAAGAGAAATCGACCGATGCGACGGCGAGTTTCTATGGTTCCGGGCATATTTCTTTGCATGCTGCGAACGTCTTGCAAGAGGTGGTGCTCTTCTGACGTCAAGCCTTTGGCGTAGGGCAACTTTCTAGTATCAAAGTGTATGGGTTTGTATTGACCACTAGCGGTTAAGTACGTGCCACTGCGCAACTTGCTATAGAGCCCTTTTGCCGCTTCCACACACGAAGCGGTAGGGGTTGCTTGAACGCAGTCTCTCTGGCTTGGTCTTTTCCGCCAGAGAATACCATTGCAGACTGACTGCCATTTGAACGTCAGCCGTCGCAAACCAGGTACGAAGTCCCAGGAGTTACAAATAGAGCTCTCAACACGGCCGGCCAACAACTTCAAGTGCGCCAGAGGATTTAAGTTTGGCGCATGCACTGGGCATCGAGGTCTTGTTTTGTGGGGAAAATCAGGGCCACTGACAGGTGCTGGAAGGCTGAATGGGAATGCCCATGGTAAAAAATCGTTTTGCCATTGGTCCCAAAAAGTATGCCCGGTTTCGACCGTGACTTGATCGGCAGCGTGTGCAAGTTCTTGTAACCTTTCTAGATCTGGCTCCCTCCAGTCAGAAGCTGCGTAGTCTTGGGATAGGACGTTTGGTCGATGTACTCCAGTGAAAGCTTGGCCATCCAGTGCTGCGGACGCCGCCGTTTCTGGCGTCGCATGCTTCTGCGGCGGCGCTGTTCGGCCGGTTTGCGAGCGCATGCTTGCGGACAAGGTTTTTGCAGTGCCTACCGCTGCAACGGACACGACCGGTTGGACGCATTTTTGGTCGGCCATCGTCCGAGTTTGACTGCTCGTTTTCTCTGACCCCGCGACCTCGGCGACGGCAATGCAGGGGTTGTCGTCGGCTGCGACAACAATCGATGCGCGCTCTGGGCGTTGTCGGAGGCCACAACTGAGAGCTCGGTTGGTGTGGTGGAGACTGTGGTGCGTGCAAGTGCATGCTGGCTCTGACTAGGATCACGAGAAAGCTCGCTAGGCAGTAGCCGCGTACCCATGATCAGGCTATGGTCGTCGGTCGTGACGATGCTATGGTCGCCACTTGCAGTGTCTACGGCTACCTTTGACAGCTTTGCGTCGGGACATACCTCTGCAACGGGCTTTGAAGCTTGGCCACTGTGCCGTGCACTTGCTGGTGGGCTTTGCTTTGGCGCTGCCGGACGCGAGCGCGAAGACTTGGTGGGTCGCGCTTTGTGGGTGGATTGCGCCGACGAGAGTGGCGCGGCCACAGGCACGTCTTCGAGAATGCCTTCCCCGAGCGGCATTGTCTCTTCCGTGCCATATATATTTGTGACCCGTTGTTTCACTTCTTCTTTTGCTTTCTCCGGGGAGATGTGATTGTCACACATTGGATGCTGCAAGTCGATCAAATGTTGCAACAATGCAACGACCACCCATGGTCGGATCCGTGCGCCGGCCACCCACTCTATCGCCTCATTGCGACGCATGCCTTTCACAGTAATCTTAACCAGGGCTTGCAGAACTTTGGGCTTCTGCGGCAAGTTTGTCCACGGCATGCTAGTGTTTGCTTGTGGAGCGAACGCTTGCAAGACTTCTTCCCAAGGTAAGCTAAATGAGGAAACATTACCTCGAACGGCAGAACGATGCTCCGCGCGGTGGAGGGTTTCTTCCACCAGGTGCCCTCTGTCTGCTTCTACATAATACGTGACGACGGACGTCCACACTGGGCTAGCGGCGGCTGCTTCTATCCACCGCACTTTGTGTTTGTATAACAACTCTGTGGGGTAGCCGTACCAGTTGTCATTGGCTAGAGCTTGTGGAACTGCAAGAACATGTTTGTCGAACATCTGCACCAGGCATTGGTGGCAGATAGGAAGCTCACATGTTTCGCAAAGCTGCCCATTGCCTACATCACAAGCTGTGCAGCGCAAGTCTTCTGGGCAACACACAATCTTTTGGCCATTGTATAGAGAGGCAGGCAAAAGGCGCGACCATTCATGTGCGTCAAAGCGGTCGCGGACGCAAGCACTGGTGGCGTACTGCTTCATGTATGTATCCAAATTCCAGTTGCAGGTGAAGCTTTCTAGAGAAAGGGAACCAAACAACTCCGCTGCGGACAAATAGGCAATGTCCCCAGCAGCACCCCCGGCATGGATGCGAGCACAGCATGCACATATCAAGGCTTCGCACGACGTCTCCTGCAATTCTTTCTGCAGTCGTCGCAGGGTTCGACGATCCACACTCCAACCGACCTGTGGCACTTGTTGATCTTCTTTCTGCAACAAGGCATTCACGTATTGGCTGGGAATTGCGAGCTCGGCCGAGCCTCCGGCTGCGCGATGCGCTGCCTCCTCGAAGACTGCGTGATGGTTTTCTTTCAGGTGCGCCCACAAGCACGTGGCAGCATTGCCGCAGCAGGCTCTGGCTGAGTGTGACCAAGTCGTGCCTTCTATGCGCCAGACTTTTTCTTTTGACCAGTGGGGATGACATGGTTGCACATCAGAAGCCCACTGACAACCGTCGAACGCACAATGCACTGCGGGATACACTAATCCAGAGTTTGAACCTAATTTTTGCAAGTCTTTGTCACTCAACACGCATGGCAATAAAGGGCGTAACCGGAAGTGCGTCGCCAAGTGCTTGGCGCTGTCTATTGCGCGGTCCTCTATCGTCACCCAGCTTTTATGTGGTTCGACGACCGCTGGTAGGTCTGCGTCATTGGACCTTCCACTAGATTCGGAATCCCACGACAGCACACTGTCCAAGTCCACGTCCGTGGCCGTTCCTTCGGATTCTTCCACTGCGTTGGACTGTGGCCAGACGTCGTCTGCCCCCCTCTGCACGGTGGATCTTGGATCTGTGTGTTGCTGTGCATCGGTGGCTGCGGTTGCTGTCGGTGGATGCGAGGCCACATGGTCTTCTTGTTCGATGGCTCCGTCACAGCGCACAGACGTCTCGCGCTTGCAGGAGCTATGTTCCGCGCAACTTGGCTGGGAACGCTGCGCGATGCGCACGCCTGTCCGGCGACGTCGCGCTGGTCTGGAAGAGCCCTGGCACACGCCGTCTGTGGTCGGTTTGTCGATCTCACCGTCGAGCCCCGCCGTGCTTCCTTTGCGTGAGCGATGCTCTTGCGGCGAACTTTGCGGCGGCTCGCACGGCGGCGGTAAGGGTGGCACAGGCGTCTCTAGAGTGTCCGCTGCCCGCTGCAAGACGGCGTCAGCTCCGGCGCGTTTCCACTCCAGTGTCCAGGTGGTGTCCGGAAACGGCGGCCGCAGCGACGCAGATCTGTCCACTATGTCGTAATGGCCGGCGACGCCGAGTTGGCGGTGCAGAAGTTCTAACACTTGTGGATGTTCTTGTAGTCTTGCATGGGCTTCTTGGTCACTAACAATTGCTTGGTCTCGCACCCACAGGTTGTGGTCCACGTCCTGACTCCAAATCAGGCAGTGAAAATCGAATGTCTCTGCGAGCGCCCATAGTTCGACGAAAGACCCATGGTGGATGGAGTCCAAGGCACGCGGTTTCTGTAGCACCGCAACTAGCTTGCTCACAAGCACAATCTCTGAGTCCGTGAGCTCTGCTAAGCTCGGGTTGGATTTGTACGCGCGCAGAAGATACTGCTTATGCAACTCTAGTTCTCGATCATCGAAGGGCACGCAGGCAAGCTGAACGTCTTCTGCCCTCGGACCATATTTCTGATTGCACAACCACTCCAACGCCTGCAGGTATAATTCTGCGGCGTGCGTTATCGACCACGTGTTCCAATTGCTGCAGTGCCGACTGACGGCATGAAAGAAGCACCATCCGTCGCCGGGCACTTTGGTGATGTCACATCCGATCCGAGCTTGCGCCAGCTGATCCAAGTCAACAACTTCTTCTGCGGACTGGTTGTGCGCCGGGCTGTATTCCGACGTCCACAAAGCATACTGTGTAACATTAGCTTCAACTTCACTTTTCTGCTTCAAAGGTGTTGGGTTCGAAGTCTCAGCTAGCGTGGCAGGGTCAGCATGTGAGCAAGTTGCATTGTCCACGTCTTTCTTTTCTGTCCTCGTCCTTTTTGTTCGGTGCATCGTATTCCCATGCAGTGCCCGCATCAATTGATTACGTAGTTTGCGAGCAACCCACCACATGTGGTTGGCTTGAAAAGTGTCTTTGTAGCTTACAGTATGAACACAGTGTAAGGTGCCGGGACTCACAACCACCAACACTGCCAACAACACTTGCGTCCTATACAGCGGCTGTGTTTGTCGCCGTCGTGCTTTGACGCGACTTCTGCCTGCGACGCGGGCTTTCTTGATCCAACCCGTCGGACACCGACCCTTTGCGAGAGCTCGCAGTGCTTGGCATGCAAAGACACAACTGAAGAGGTGGACGACAAACACTGGGTTTATTCGATTAGTGGTAGCACTTACGAACGCAGACACTAAGGCTAGGCCCCAGGCGAGCATCGTGTATCGATCTGGAATTCTACGGGTCCAGTGTGTGTGCTTGTTGTCTGCTGGACTTGCTTTGCCGGATTTGGCGTGCCGGACATGGCGGCCACGTCGGCGCAGGTTGCATCTGCATCCTTCGACCAGAGTGATCCTCCAAACTGTCGAGCAGCGCGCGGCAAAACTTCTGTCTTGTTCACTGACAAGTTTACTTGCAACCACACACCACTTCGTCATAGCTGCACTAACGAACGCAGGCAGGAACGCCGTGCTTCGGGTGAGTGCAGTGATTTTGTAGGTCGAGCGTGTGTGCACGTTGCCTGCGTGCACTGCTAGGCTGGATGTGGTGGGTCGGACATCGCAGCTTTGTCGGCGACGAAGCCGTGTCTGCCAGTCGCCGAAAGCGACCCCGCAAAACATCCAGCACCATGTGGCAAAACTCGCTGCTCGTTGACAAACGAGCCGATTTGCAGCCAGATACCACTGTCTCATGGTTGTCCTCTTTGGGTCCGTGAGCTACAGTGAAGTGAAGTTCTGACTGCTTGCGTTAGTCTGTAGTTTCTTTACCTAGTCACTCTGACACTGTGGCTGCCAGGACGCCTAGAATTCAGCTACCGCGATTGCTAGCTCGGTTACCTGTCGTTGACTTACGGGGATGGAAAAACCTATTCGTGTCCTCTATGTGAATGACTGTTGTAGTGGACTTCGTGTACGTCGCCGTAGCGACACCGACCTATGTTGGTGTTGTTGCACCTAGCTTCTGGCTTTGGACCGCAACAGTGCAGCGACAACGAACGACGCTGCGACCGCGCACACCTGCACTTGCAGGTTCGACGGTGTTTATGTTCATCGCTCACGAGTGGCTTCTCACCTTGGTTCCCTGCGTTTTTTGTTTGGTTTACTTCGTACTTCACAGTCTGGTTTCAGTTTCAGTCAATCGTTCTCCTTCCTTGTGTTAGTCTTCTAAACACGTCGTTGCCACCTCGTCTGGACACAACCCATGCCCTCTCGTCAAACACGCCAAACTCGCTGGCCTCTCCACCGTGCTGCGAGAAAACGACGGGATCGTCGTAGAGCACCTGGCACATGATTTGCACGCTGGAGACGGTGTCACAGACTGTTGACAGAAAACAGTTCTCTCCTGTCTCTGTCAAGCGAGCCATCCAGTCTGTGCAGTTCAGTCTCTCTTAAGCGAGCCATGCAGTCTGTGCAGTTCAGTCTCTCGTAAGCGAGCCACGGTGAGTCTCTGTTAAGCGAGCCATCCAGTCTGTGCAGTTCAGTCTCTCTTAAGCGAGCCATGCAGTCTGTGCAGTTCAGTCTCTCGTAAGCGAGCCACGGTGAGTCGCTCACAGTCAACTGTCTCTCGTCTCTCTGGCAGTCACTTCAGTCCAGTCTGTCTGAAGCAAGCCGGGCAAACAGAAAGGTTTTGTAGTAGAACTACGTCAACGATAATCGTTTCGAGTGCGGTGGATTGTTTTTCGAGGCAATAAACTCATGTAATAGGTGATATGTTTCAATCTAGCACTCACTTCAGTCCTGTTTATCTTACGTGAGTCGGGCTAACACAGATATACGGTGGGTTGTTATCTTACGCGAGTCGGGCGAACACAGATGTTTGGTGGGTTGTGTTTTGTAGCAAAACTATGTCATGGACGAGTTTGGTAGGGTATTTTTTGGACGAAGACTAACCTCTGTCATACGTGACCTTTGACGGAGACGTCGACGCGATCGAGGATGTTTGAGTCCCGCTGGGCCTCTTAACCTTGTGCCTGGCTGTGGCAGTGTTCGACGGCTCACCCGACCTTCGGTGCACTGACTGTGCACCCGGGCGGTCAGCCCCCTTCTTGCGAAGGATGCTGCCGGGACGCCCGAAGTCCCGGCCCCCGTCCTGCGCGAGGGTGGGAGAGCGATGCTCCCCCACAACCTGATAGCAGGGATAGGGAAAGAGACAGGGACAGCTACCGACAGATACCGCGACGGAGACAGAGGTAAAGGAGAGGGGAGAGGGAGAAACAGCGAGAGCCGGAAAGAAAGTGAAAGACAGAGACACAAAAAGAGAGAGAGAGAAAGAGAGATACCGGACGCAGACAGAGACAGATACAGACAAAGAGAGGAAAGGGAGAGAGAGAATGAAAAAGACAAAGCAAGAGCGACAGAGAAGAGAAAGTGCCGTGCCCTACACTCACCCTATTTATGCGGCTTTTTTGGATCCTAGGGTTGGGTTCTCTGTCTCTCTCTTTCTCTCTTTTTGAGACTTGGTGGGGTCTATATTGAGCGAAGTTTCGCCATCTGGTGCGCATCTTAGCACTAGGTTGGGCCAAGTTGGGCCCATGTGGTCTATGTTGAGCACATCTTAGGCCCATGTTGAAACTATGTTACACCTATGTTGGCATACGTTGTCCTGGGTTGGGCCTATGTTGGCGTACGTTGGCGTACGTTGGCGTACGTTGGTCCCATGTTGCCCTCTGTTATCCCTATGTTGAGCCATCTTGGAAGGTATGTAAAGCATTTGTTGGGGGTATGTTGGCTATCTTAGGCCTATGTTGGAGATATGTTACGCAATTTGTGTTCACTAACATCGTCCGCGACAACTTTTTTTGATTTTTCCTTCCCGCCGAGCGAACCCGCTAAACACAAACCCTCACCCTGCTTGGCCGGCGCCCGGCTGTCAGGCGTAAGCCTCTTAATCCGGGCGCCGGCCACGCGCACGTTCCCTTGCCGGAGGCCTTCGGTTGGTAACCGAAGGTTATATACGCTCGCCGCCCCTGCCGCCGACCCTTTTGTTCGACCGCGGGGATACCCCCGCCCGACCCCC